GTGAATAATTGAATTCTAAATGTCGTCTTTGAATAAGAAAACAATAGTCGAAAAACAAAAATACTACCGATATCAAAGGATCTTGAAAATTTGAGAAATAGAAAATCCTTCTTAATTTCTTCGCATTTCCATGATTGATAAAATAAAAAAAGTTTCCACAATATCTTTTGTTCTCACATTCATCTTCATCTAGGCATTTGTTAACATGAATATATGGGCTTGCAAGCTATTCGAGAGAAGACATCACTCTAGCTTTGATGAATGGCGGAACTAATTATCAATTCTCATTTCCTCGAGGTATAATCATAACTCTGTTGAGAGTTCGTCAACAACTTAGAACCTTCTATTTTTTTCTATTCTTAGACATTGCTGTTAATCGCACACGTTAAATTAATCCTCCATTAATTTACATAAAACGAAGGCATCAATCGGATACTCTTGACATATTATATCCTTCATGTTTTATTTATTTCAACACATTCGTTGTTGTGAAATATCTTATTCAAAAGGTTAATATTGTATGTATTTAATCAAAGTTTAGTAAGAAACTATTTTGAAATGATTGACATATGTATTTTCTTATGAAAAGTTTGTCGAACATTAAAATTTAATCTTCAATAAAGTGCATCGGTTTCAAGATTAATTTAACTAATTTATTTGCAAATTCTAGAAGAAAATCTCTGAAGCACAGTCTTGAAAGTTATGGAAATAGAGTTCACCATCAGAACACTTGGTAATGATTTCGATGTTGATGACATTCTAAGGGTATTTGAGTATAAGCAAAGAGAGTACAGATTTGAATATGTTCTTAGCGGAAGAAAACAAACCGGGGATAACTTGAAAAAAATAAATTAAATTGAAAAGCAAATCTTTTTGATAATGTGTTTCTTTTCGTTATATTGACTAGAATAATTGTTGCTTTTCCGTAGGAACTTCGCTGATCTATACCAATTAATCAATTTGTATCTTTTATACAACTAGTCTTATGGAAGAGAAAGAGTTGAAGCACAATGATTCATAGCTCATGCATTATTGATAAAGCATTCAAGGTTTTCTTATGCTTTTCTGTTAGTCTGTTGGAGTGAATCGAAGCAATTTCATATTGTATTCACTCAAAATAGATGCTGAACAGAAGCAAAAGACTGTCATTCGACAGATACTATTGAATTTACAAGACATTTTAAATAATGAATGTTTTTTCTCCAAATTCTTTGATCGGTGTATATCAGTAAATTTTTTACGAAAACGTAATTGCTATGCTACTCAATATAACGAAAAGAAATACATTTTCAACAATTTTTTTACTTTTCAAATTAATTCTTCTTCTTCTTCAAGCTATCACTATTTTTTTTTCTTCCGCTAAGTACAGTAGTTGGAAATAGTCTCGTTATGAGGTAAAAAGTACCTAAACTTCAATCCTTTAGTCTAATAATTTTATTACAGACAGAGCATGTTGAACTCTGATTGCAAAAACTAATCAAGATTATATCAGTCTTCATCTAGAGGAACTAGAAGGTCGTCGTATATTTTATTTTTCCTTCAGACGAGAATGTCTAAACATAGACAACAAATTTCATGACCTTAGACAATGAAGTATTCTTTTAGCCATTTTCACATGGGAGTTGGTGCGAATCATCGAAAAGTGATCGATATCTCCAGCTAATTCTAACAATTTGCCTTGAAATTCTTCCGATCATAACCATTAATGCAGAAGAGATCCATGCTGAGATCATCACAAAGAATGAAGAATTCCTTACACCTCAAGATTACAGCGAATGGAAATGTTTTATCTGTAGCTAAAATACTAGACAAAAGGAATGAAGTTTCTGTGCGTTTTACTCGGTAGTGGAACTTCTACCGACTACCATACAGGATGGACTATAAAAAACTAATTCCTTTGATGATAATATTCTTTCTACAAGCATGGCATTCATTTTTTGATCCGATTCTTCTTTCAACAGATACAACTGATAAAAAAAAACTACCCGATATAGACATTTTTATTTGAAAAAATGTTTCAATGTAGCTTGAGAGAAAAAGAAAAACTTATAGAATATGAAATCTGTTCTAAAACGGTATATTCTCACCGAGAATTATAAAGAAATCTCAGAATAACAGCTATTTTTCATCTAACAATTTATCAGTAATGCATACATATTGTGGTGGCCATTGTAACATTTTATTTACATCGTATAGACGAACGTAATTAAAATGAATTCAAATGTTGAAATAACCAAATTAGTATAGTACCTTACTTTATATAAAAAAATATGCAACACAACAGTGGTACAAGTATTTTAATAAAAGTAGCTAAGTAGCAATTATTCGCAATAATTTCCATGTGTACTTAACCTTTTCTCAGCTCTATCGTTTACAACAGATATTGATTCGAAAATTGAGTGTTATAAGTGCACAAAGTATTTTTTATAGGAAGATAAGTTTTTTATGACCCACTCTGAGTACTTTTAAATCTGCACTTGTTTGTGCTTAAAGTGTCATTTATTAATTATCGACATCTACATTATTACTGCATGCTCTAATGATCGACTCTATTTTAAAAATTGTAATTCAGAGACTTTGGGCAAAAATTGTTTTGTTCGAAAAGATTTGTTTTTTGGAAATTTGAAAATGAATTAGTTAAATTAATCTTGAAATTGATGCATTTTATTTATTGAAGATTACATTTTACTGTTCGACAGACTTTTTCATCGGAGAATACATGTCAATCATTTCAAAATAATTTCTCACTAAACGTTGATTAAAGATACACACGATATCAACCGTTTGAAATTAATAAAAAAAAAGACGTGCTAAAATAAGTTAAATGCAAGGAATAAACGATATTGATAGTCTTTGATTAATTTGATGTTCGAAAATAGAATTCGTTAATGTTTCATTTGTGGTAGAAATCGGAAAGAAACTTATCCTTGTTCAAATAGTTTTCGTCTGATGTCGATATAGTTTTTTTTTTTTCATGGTACTTTCCTAGAAAATGTCAGATATAAAGAGCGAAATAACAAGTTTTATATACAATCTCTGTAAACATTGATACGAAAACTATCAAATTTTACATTATTATTATTCGAAACAGTATTTCTAGATATACTCCCTCGGACAAAAAAAACGCCCTTTTTCCATTTCATTTTTGCATCACTTAATAAGTTGTTTTAGAAAAACAAAATATACCAGGAGATGCAGCGTGAAAAGAACTACAATGTGCAAAGTAAAGCTTATTTTAATTTTGTACTTTTTGTTTTCAAAAGAAGCAAAATTGTGTGCGACCAATTTTCGACGCTG